CATTTTGTAATGGATGGAAAACGACTAGTTACACATCTTGACTTTTTAATTATTTTTTGGTGGAAAAGAAAAAAAAAGTTTCATTCTGTAATGGATGGAAAACGACTAGTACTTACACATCTTGACCCTTTTTTTTCTTTGTGGGAAAAAAAATAACAAAGTTTCATTCTGTAATGGATGGAAAACGACTAGTACTTACACATCTTGACCTTTTATTTTTTTTTTAGGTGGGGAAAAAAAAATAACAATGTTTCATTCTGTACGTAATGGATGGAAAACGACTAGTTACACCTCTTGCCTTTTTTTTTTTTTTGGTGGAAAAAAAAAGAAAAAAAAAAATTTCATTCTGTAATGGATGGAAAGCGACTAGTTACACATCTTGCCTTCTAAATTTTTTTTTTTGGTGAAAAAAAAAACACAATTTCATTTTGTAATGGATGGAAAACGACTAGCTCCACATCTCCTTTTATTTATGTTGTCAACTTTTATTTACATTAATTGTTGTCTTCCTAATCGGGCCGCAAATGAACTCTAAGGGTTACATTAATCTACTGTTAAATAAGTGTTATTTTGTAAAGGACAGTTTCAATATTTCTTATGCATAATCCTTTGTATAAACATTGGGATGGACGGACACTAAGACGGAATAAGCAGGCTAATATGCCCAATGTGCCTGCTGCAATATGATGAGAGGCTATTCCTCCTGGAACAAAAGGATCAAAACCTTCCACACCCAGTGGCGGAGCTAGGAATTTATCTTGGGGGGCAATTGCAAAATTATAAAAAAAGAAAATTAAAATATCAAATTACATCTTTAACTTAAAAACATTGAAGAAGATGGATTTTGCTAGAGTTATAACATACAAAAGAAGACTAAGATTCTTATTATAAAAACTAAAATCACATGCCTTAAGTTTATAAAAATTACCTAAAATTTATGTGGTTATTCATAGATTTTAGTTTCAAACAAAATCATTATTACAAAATATTAATATAAATTAACCAATAAAACTAAGATGTTTTAAAGATTTTTTTTTTTTTTGCACATTAAAGATTAATTGCACATTACAAAGGTTTATACTATTGTAAATCAAGATTGATAACTTAGTGGGTACTATTTACCAATTCAATCAAATTTTTATTAGTGAAGATATTTTAAATAATTAACATACCAAATTCTAGTCATATGTATTATGAAGATATGATTAGAGCTTATGATCCCATGCTAATAGATAATTTTCAATGAAATTAATTATTGCATTTGTACCCAAATTAATTCTAGTCATTTGCAGGGTGTAATCCTTAGTTAGGGGATAAAATAGTGTATATGATGCAATTCTTAATAATCAATTAAAATTATGATAACAATCAGAGATATTATAGAAACTACAATTTTCATTATTTATAAGTAGTGGCCTTTTACACTAAAAAACAAAACTTACTGTTCACCTATGACCAACTACATGTACAAAATAGAGAAAATTTTATCTTTTCCTTAAATATATCAAAGAAAAACAAAAGGTGAAACATAATAATACAACGTAATTTGAAAATTTTTTTGTAGAGATACTATGTTAACCATTAAAGCCAAATTTAAGTGAAATTAAAACGAAACCAAGAGATATAATCTAATAATTTCTCAAATAATTAATAAATTCTTATTTTATATTTAAAATCTTAAGGTACTATTTATATTTTTTAAAAGTATAGGGTGCTAATTAAAAAGTTTTTCAAAAGACCAGGGGGGGCCATGGCCCTTCCTGGTCTATATGTGGCTCGGCCACTGTCCACACCCCACGCTGGACTTACAGGTTGTACCTTTCCATTTAGTCCATAATCCAAAGTTTAAGTTTTGAGATTCACAACTGAGAAAATTAATTTATTTAAATATACAAGCTCGGAGGTGTACCTTTAATGCCATACTCAATTTGATTTACTTATGACTTTTTTTATTTATTTATGATCAGGCCGTCTCTGAGTCAGCATATCTTAAGATTAGTATCAATGTTTAAGCACAAACTCAATCGTACAATAACAAATTACTCGAGCTCGTTAATTATTTGCTTTTTGTTGAATTAAAAAATGTAGTGCTTGTGGTCAGTTCATTTAGAGAAAAGTGGAGCTCAAGCTTAGCTCATTTACAAAACAAACTATGCTTGGATTGAGTAGCTTGCAAACTACCGACTTATTTATAATTTAAAATAATTATAAATTAAATCAAATAATATAATTTATTAATTTTTTTAACTTAAACAATCTACTTATCAGTATCTTATGAGCTTGATATACAAACTCAAACTCAATTTAACAAACTCAAAATTGGGCGTCCTTTTCCTTTTTTTTTTTTTTTTGAGCTGGATTTTGCCATCTTTGATTGTATCCCTCAGTCGATCAAATATGCATATGCATGTACTGCTCTCCTGCTGATATTTTAGGGATTGGATTCTCCAAAAACCTACTGATGCTTTATATTATAATATTCCTCTTATATACCCAAAAAAAAAAAATGATAATTCATACTCGTTTTAGTCAAAATCGATTGAAAATCCTGCAAATCAGATAATTCTAACTTCTTGAATCCTTTCCTCTGCCCCTTAATTTCCCGTTTCATTTTTTCTTCTGCCTTCTAAATCCTTTTAATATGGTTTTGTCTAACCTATGCAAATCAGATAAAAATATAAGTTAAAAATATAATAAATACATATTTATTTAATTAATATACATAAAAAATATAAAAATTAAAATCTGTTTTAATATTATTATCACATGAATAATTTTAATTAATTAATTAATTGATTAATAGTATGTTTAAGTTGGAAAAATTAAGGGAAGAAGAAGGGAGGAGAAGGACGAAGAGAGGAATTTTATCCCTTTGTTCCTCTTTATTCCCTTCCTCTCCTTTTTCTTTATTTAGATAAATAAATTAATTAAAAAAATAAAGTAAATTTTTTTTTCCTTTCTCCCTCTCTAATTTTTTTGATAATTAAATAAAAAATTTATTCCTCCCATTCTTTTCATTTCTCTAAATCTAAATAAATTATAGATTAAAATCAATATTTATATCTTTTATATAAATTAATTATAAAAAAATTACTACACCCTCACCTTGCGCTGAAGTTAGAAATTTCACACTTCATGTGACCTTAAAAAATCATACCTCGCGTGACCTTACCCCTAGAACAAATCATTTCTCACGGTGACCTTGCCACTAGAGCGACCAAACTCAGGTATGATCTTAACAAATCATCTACCACAAGAGCAGCCAAACTCTTTGTGAAATGATTTCTAAAGAATATATTTTAAATAATATTACAAAAGATTTGAAGGGGATCTTTGGTTGGGAAAACTTTTCTTGCTAAAGTTCTCTAAATTTTTTCTTTATAAGTTGATTTACATATTTTTATATATTAATATTATAATAAAATAAAGATAAAAATAATATTTTTAATATTTACTTTCTCTCATATAATTTTTAACCCGTAAAATTTTTTACCTATTTTTTTACTAAGAAAAAGTTTCTCTATAATTTCCATATACAGGGCCCACTTAACAAGTTTCCTTTCTAACACTACTGGAAAACACAGTATATTTGACAGAAAATTCTGTCGAATATAAAGGAGTTTCTGTTGATAATGATTTAATCGACAGACATATTCGATAAAAAAAGTTGTCGAAGAAACTGCAGTAGATAATCAATATATTCGACAGCAATTTTTTCTGTCGATTAAACTTTTTTAATCGATAGAATTTTACTGTCGAATATACTGATTATCGACAGAATTTGGTAGCCAGATTTACAATTTTGTCAAGTTATATTCGACAGCCATTAGCTGTTGATTAAACTTGTTTGATCGACAGCCATTGGCTGTCGAATATGTTTTTTAATTTTTTATGGATTATATTCGACAGCTATTAGCTGTCGATTAAACTTTTTTAATCGACAGCTGTTGGCTGTTGAACATGTTTTTTTTTTTTGAATGATATATTCGACAGCAATACGCTGTCGAATACACTTGTCAGTAAAATAAAAAAATTTTTTGAAAAATCTGGAATTAAAAAATCTTATATTATTTTCTATTAATTTTCTATTAATTCTATATAAAAAATCAATAAAAAAAACACAATTATCAAATTACCTAGCAATATATTTATCAAACAATTTTAACAATAATATAAAAAGTAATAGATAATCATAAATAAAATTAATATTAGCATTAACTTTAATTATTTAAAAAATGAGTTACTGTTTCTATCAAAAATAACAGAAAAAATTTATATCAAGTGATAAGAATTTTAAAAAGAAAAGAAGATAAAAAGCAAAATTATAAAATTTACCTCACATTACTTTATAAGAATCAATGTATAAAAATCTGAAAAAAAAACTATTAGTATGTTAAATAATAAAAATTCAACAAAAAAAGAGAGAATAGTGAAATGAAAAAGATGATTAAAGGTAATTTATAAAAATATAAAGAGAAGAATGTAAAAGAAAATAAAAG